AAACTGTGCAACTAGTTTTTAATTTCATCTACTTTTAATATTCCATGTATGTACCACAAATTTGATGTGACGAAAATCTTTTTTGGGAGCAACTAATCAAGGCCCGAATCGATCAAGTTTTGCGAACCGCCGGATGTCAAGCTCCCTAAAACCTTCCCCTATTTCAAAGTTGCAAGTACCTGACCAAAAGCACGTCCAAAAGCTACAGTCAGCTGCATCTTGTCCTGCATGGACTTTATTTTCCCGATGCACGCTCACTCGCCGGTCACTCCTGCCAGTACCAAATACTGTGCGTACCAGCCAATGCGTGTCCGGAATCGATAGATCTTAGAGTGACACGACACCAAATCTCGAAACTCTACCAATGACAGGCGCGCCAATCAAACAAGCATGAGTACTCCAATCCACGCCCGGCGACGGCGAGCTGCGCGCGGATGCACGGTGGTTCTCCGGGTCCCAAGCCTGGAATCCCGAATCGATCTGGACTGACCCCGTCACCCCACCCGACGTGCGTGCGTGCGGACGAAGCAACCCACCCGATGAACCCCGGAGACCAGACCACAGCCCGGCTCGAACGACGCTCTATCCACTTGGAGAACCGCGAGCGAGCGCGGTGGCGCATTGACATGGCAGGCGCGCAGATCCCCGAGACCGCGTCCGCCTGCACGTGCGCTCTCTCTGACTCCCTGTTGTTCCGGCTGAACCCGTCGTCGCGGCGATTCTTGGCCCGGCGCGGCCTGCGCGCACACGGGCGCTCGCACTGTCGCTATCCAGGTCACCGGGGTAGGGCGCGACACAGACACAGTACCGTGCTACTGGGCTACTACTGGCTACTGGTAGCCAAGGTGCAGGACTGCAGGTGCTGAGTGAGGCTCAGCGCCCGGCCGGCCGGCCCATCCCGCGCGGTCGCACTGCACCCGGCAGGGCACGACCCGTCTCCGCGGTCTCGATCGATCGCCAGCCAGCCAGAGCGCCCAGGGGCCACCGCGCAGGGCGCGGGCACGGGGGTCGTGCGCACAGTGCACGGCATCGGTCGGGATTCGAGAGGTGAGGAATGATGAGGATCGCGGCGCAGGACCGGGCTGGAGAGTGGAGACGGCGATCCTCGTTCCATCCTGCACCTGGATCTGGATGCAGCGACCCCGTCGTTTGTAGCATCGTACTCCACTCGTGCGCGATGCGTTGCGTGCTGGTGATGACAATTAACAACTGGCACTTGCGTGCTACGAAAGACGAAAGAGAAATCTGTCGCCGAGGGAGCAGGTCCTCATGCGGCGTGTGCGTGTGGCCGGAAATTGTCGTGTGTTAGCACTGCCAATGTCAGAAAATCTGGTGGGGCAGCTGTGACAATAGATTTTTGCACGTGTTTGTTAGCACTGCCACGTCGAATCAGAATTAAATCTGGTGGGGCAGCGGTGACAATAGATTTTTTGCCCAAATTCCAAACTTCCCCAAACTAAACACGGCGTTTGTTCATAACTAAAACCATTCTGACGCGTGCTCTGAAAGATAAGTATTGATCAGATGGTGATGATCAGAAGGCTCAACTCAAGGGTGCGAAGCTCACTGTTAATGCGGTATTGTTGTTGCTCAGCGGTGAGGTTTCCGCGAGGCTGCGAAAGATCATTGATGGTGTTTGGTTTGTCCTCGGGTGACGTAACTGTAAATAGAATCAATTCACTGAGTTTTGATTGGTGGGATCATTGATTCCAGACTTTGTTTGGAGTGGACGTGGTAACGGTATTGCAGAGAGAGATCGGCGACGTACGTAATGAGAAATAGGGTCGAGGAGGGGCGGTATCGGCAATGAATTGGGTGCTATTTGATTACATGGTATCTCGTAATAGGAAGGACCAAAGCAAACAGTTGTATCGTTACATTCCATCGAACCAAACGCTTCGATTGTTCCTTTTGTCAATATTGCATTAAAAGATTTTTACTCCCTCCATTCCAAATTACAAGACGCTTTGAGTTTTCTATAATCTATAAATACATTAGTATCTAAATATATTGTACGGAGTATATTTAAACGCATGACAGAAGTTATATTTCTAGAAAATCCAAAATATCTTATATTTGGAAGGGAGAAAGTACACAATTAGAGCTCTAGACGTCTTAAAAATGGAAATAGATTACCAATTGTACCACTACTTGTTGTGTTGTCAAGGATGCATTGATGATACAGGGGCTGTTTGGTAGCCGGCCACCGCAGCGGAGCCCACGCCACACTTTGTGGCGAGCGTTTTGGCCGCCACACCCGCCACGAAACAGTACACGATAGAAACTGTGGCAGCCGCATCAGGAGGCGAGCAACCAGGCAGCAGCCTTTTGTCTGTGGCGAGCGGCGGCCGGGAAGCAAACACGCCCACAAACTCGCTAGATTCTGCACAAGGCATATCTTAAAGTCTACATATCTAGTACACCAGACACACACCTCAACAATGGACTCAGCTTGCTAGCCCATATAAACTTAAACAAGGATAAAAATAGATAACCCAATATGCTAGTATAGACAAATGTATTACTATAGACATGTAATTTGGAGAGAGTCCAACTCAAAATCGGATGAGTGCTACTAGAGCGACTTGGCTAGAGGCATGTTCGCACCTTGCCTTATCATGGCATAGGCCCTATTTGTAAATACGGTGGACAGTGGACTGTTTTGGCTGCTGCATAATTCATACTTGTATTTGTATTGCATGGACATGAAGGCCCGGAGCCAGGGATGATGGGATTTATATGATCATGTGGACCTAATAGGTTTGTTTTTAATTCCTCTATTGCATATGTGCCGCTTGTGCGTGATTGGTGAATGGTGAATGGTTGTTTTATCCGTGATTAGGCCACGCACTACCCAATGCCTCTATACATCTGTACCGCAAGCATCATCCTGTCAGTGTAACAAAGTCTTAGCCCTCGTTTAGTTCGTGAAATTTGGATTTTGGGGCTACTGTAGCACATTCGTTTTTATTTAACAAATAGTGTTCAAACATGGACTAATTAGGCTTAAAACGTTCGTCTCGCAATTTCCCACCAAACTGTGCAATTAGTTTTTCTTTTCGTCTACATTTAATGCTCCATGCACGGGCCGCAAACATTCGATGTGACAGGTACTGTAGCAACTTTTTGGAAATTGGGGGTGGAACTAAACAAGGGCTTAATGATGTGGTTTATCAACTCTTTGGTACGTGATTAGCTAAGAATATAGTTATCCATTTATTTACTCTTTATATTTTTTCTGTTCATGGACTTTCACGAACCTCCAGTCCTATCAGTGTAACAACTAACAAATCTTAATGATGTGATTTTGATCAACTCTTTGGTATGTGCTACGGTTGCTAGATCAGTTGGTCAAGCCTCTGGGTGACACTCCCCATGACCAGAGTTCGAATTCTTGGTCAGATGAATTTCTAGTCGACAGTGTAGGAAAAAAAACCCTCACATGTCCCACGTTGACAAAGCACAGGTAAAATGCATCGGCCCTCTCATAGGGTAACGGGCTCCTGTGTGTAGGGCAAGACATGGGGTTTGGGGATTTTCTCGGGCTGGGTGAGAAGTCCTCTACTTCAACTAAAATAGCTCGAGGATGCCTACCCCGCAGCCCGAGTTTTTTTTATCCGTAGACCATGCTATTTGCTCCAAAATTTCTTTCAATTTGTACATATATCGGATGAAATTGTCCATATACAATTTTCATTAAGTAACCTTTTTATTTCTTCCCTCCGTTCATCAATAGTCACATAAACTTACCTTAAATTATCGCGGCAACGCAAGAAGTTTTTCTCTTTGCACTAAAAATCGCAAGCTAATTAGCTCAGGCAAGTAAGCAAGCTAAGTCCGGCTCATGCAGCGAACTGATCATAGATCAGTTGGTTAGGCTTCATATGGTAAAAACTGCTCATCCGGGTTCAAGTCCTCGACTTGGTACGGGTGCTCGTATTTTCCTGAATTTATTCTATGATTTAACGGCGCTATGCTTTCAGTGGTAGGCGACGTCCCCGTCGACAGCGAGGTGTCTGTGGTGACTTCATGAATCTCGAGATATGCCGGCTCAATCCATCGGAGGTACTCATAGGGGTATGGTTTTACGTGCGTGTGTTTATAGGAATGAGTGTGCGTGCGTGTTTGTGAGCGTCTGTGCTGTACTGTGTAATTCTAAAAAAAGTTCCAGCTCAAGCTTGAGTGACCCTGACTCGAGGATTGTTGTGTGTATGTAGAGGGTGATTGGTTGCTTTAGTGATGGGGGAGCCGGAATGGAGAGCCGGTTCAGGAGGGTGAGATGCATGTTCAAATCATGCACCCAGTTATATTTGGTTGTTTTTGTTGTTGGTTTAGAATGAGATGAAATCTTGTTTGGTTGCATGCATGGATGAGAGTTTTGAATGTATGATATATGTGCCTCTGTATCATGGATTTATCGTGTCGTTCTGCATCGCGAGAAAAGTGGGAAGCGAAAAGATAGAGCCATGCGAGACGGAGGGGCGAAGATGAACGAGACAGAGCATGAAAGAATGCGAGGAAGACATTTAAACACGGTCAAATGCACCGAGCGGTGCGGGGATAGGGCCGAGGATGGTCTTGAGCGTGCAACCAATCACCCCAGTAGCCTAGCAGGCAGCTCAGCAGCCAGGCTCGGATCAGTTGCCTGAACCAGACACATTCTCAGACCACGAACCAAACAGCCCATCAAATAGAGCCGTGCTACTCCGTATGTCATAGGAAAACACCATATGGCTCTGATTCTTGACGTTTAAGCACTACAAGCACACTGAAGATCCTTGTGCAGAAACGCAGAATGCACAGTTGCACACAACGCTCGCTAGCTATCCCAGAGCAGAGTACACCGTGTCTGGTTGTCTGTTCCCTCGTCCTCCAACCCCGACCCTCAATCCCTCACACGCTTCCTAATATAAACCCCGCCACGCGCCAACCCAATCGCCAGTTCGCCACCGGCCAGTCCCCGGCGCACCGAGCTTCGTCACTCCACCTCCGATCCACGCATGGCCAAGCGCCTCTTCTACTCCTGCCGCTCGCCGTCGGCAGCCGCCGCGGTCAGCCCCACGACCACCCTCCTCCCGAGGGACCCGAGCGCTCACCCGCCCGTTGTCCCGGCCCCATCGGGCGGCGCGTGCTGCCCTCGCCGCGCCCCTCGGCGGCGGGGGCGGGCCCAGACACCTGCAGCCTGCGGCGCCGGGGGCTGCGCCGTCGACTACGGCGCCGACGACCTCCCTCCGGCGCGTGGAACGCCGGCGTACCGGTGGCTGAAGAGCTCCCGCTGGCACGTCATCGAGGCGGCCAACGCGTACGCCTCCGACGGCGACGGCGACGGCGACGACACGCCCCGCCTCAAGATCGACGCGCGGCGCCGGGTGCGGCACTCGCGCCGCCGCCGCAGGGTCCTCCACCGGAGTCTGGCGGGCCCGGCGAGCTGGTCGTCCGGGGACAGCGGGTGGTTCAGCAGCGACGACGACGACGGAGACGAGCCGTTCGGCGCCGCGGGGGAGGCGTCGTCGGCGCTGCACGTGGCGGCGGCGTCGTCGACCACCACGACGGAGTCCTCGTCGACGGGCGTGAGCCGGAACAGCGCCGGCGCCGGTGCCGCGAGGGGAGAGGAGGCCGCGGCCGCGGCGCTGGCCGGGGGCTTCGCGGTGGTGAAGCGCTCCGACGACCCGCGCGCCGACTTCCGGCGGTCCATGGCGGAGATGGTCGTGGGCCGCGGCATCTACGACGCCGACGGCCTGGAGCGCCTGCTCCGCTGCTTCCTGGCGCTCAACGACCGGTGCCACCGCCACGACATCGTGGCGGCGTTCGGCGACGTGTGGGAGGCGGTCTTCTCCAACCCACCGCCGCAGTCGCACTCCCACGGCGCCGCCGCCGCCGCCACATCCTCCGACGCTACGAGCTGCAAGGCTGCAGGCCTGCAGCCATGTCTCATCCCTAGATAACGTGCTCATCGCACACGTATGTCTATGCACTTCTTTTAATTACGTGAAGCAACTACTCTAGTGTATGTAAAAATGCGATTTTATGTACATGTAAATTACGCTTTCTGTTTACGGCGGCGGCTCCTTTCGGCCTGCTCCCTACAGCTCACTCGGTCTCGTAATGGGCCTGTTCGCTTAAGTAATTCTGTTCGAATTTGGATGGTTCGAATAAAATATTGGAGAAATTTGTGAGAGAAAAATATTGTCTTAGATGAAAAAAGAAACAGATCAAGTCAAATTTAAAACCTGCAATAAAAGTTCAATTAAAAAAAAAGAAACGTAGGAAGTGCAGCGTAGTCTTTTTCACACGCTCAGTTCATCCACTGTTGTCTTTTTTTGTCTGTTGATGCACTGGTAAAATCGTGGCCAAACATTTCTTGTCTTTTTTTGTCTGTTGATGCGCTGGTAAAATCGTGGCCACACATTTCTACTGTGTACTGTTGTTGGTTTTATTATTTGTTGCGTCAATCAACATCGTTCCAGTGACGATAGCTGCATTTTTAGGGTATAATTGTAATATATCAGCTACAGTATTTTACTCATTTAAATCCTAAACATGTATTTAAATTGGGATGGAGGGAGAACTCGGTATTGTCCATCGAATGTTTAGAAAGGTGAATGAATTATTAAATATAGAGTAAAAAATAATTAATTATATAGTTTAAGACTAATTTATAAAACTAATTTTTTAAGTCTAATTAATTTATAATTTGACAACGTGATACTACATTAATGCATATACTAATAATAAATTAATTAGATTTAATAAATTTATCTCCCTAGCGCGTTCTATAATTTCATTTTCTATAAATATCAGAATATTATAATGTGACGCCGAACGTGTCACACCTAAACTTTATATTCTATATTACAACGCCTGAATTCATGTGTGGAAATCGGTGTTACGACTCTGGTGTCTGACCTGATGTGATGTGACCTGGAGTGAGCGTATGGAGTTGTGGCACTATTTCTCGATCCCAATCCATCTCTGCTTTCTCCTTTCAGATTTGCTCAGAGCGTGTTTAGTTGCTACCTTGAAATTCAAAAAAGTGCTACAGTACTCATCGCATCAAATCTTACGATACGTGCGTAGAGCATTAAATATAGATGAAAAAAAACTAATTGTATAATTTGGTTGGAAATTACAATACAAACATTTTAAGCCTAATTAATCCATAATTAAATATTATTTACTAAATAAAAATGAAAATACTACCCCAAATTTCAACTTTCACCCGACTAAATACACCCTCACTGAATTTTTCGTACGAACATCTTTCGCGTGCACGCATTGCCATTTCGTGCAGACTGATCGCGGCGCAGACACAGAAACAGTAGAGGTCCGGAGAAAAAAAAAAAGCAATTGAATTCCTTGTCGATTTTATCTATACTCACCAGCCAGTGTACTTTCTTGCACAGCACAAGGCAGCCATGGCCCGGAACACCCAACATGGATGTGACGCGCACTTGCGCAAGGTTCCATTTGGCTGTGTTTAGGGCTGGTTTAGTTACAAAGAGTTTTATCAAAAAAATACTTCTTACGGTATCGTGCATGGAATATTAAATATAGATAGAAAAAAAAAACTAATTACACAGTTTGGTGGAAAATCATGAGACGAACGTTTTGAGCCTAATTAATCCATAATTGAACACTAATAAAAACGGAAGTGCTATAGTAGCCAAATTCCCAAATTTTATATAACTAAACAAGGCCTTAGTTCCAAAAATTTCCAAAAAAGTACTACAGTAGCCATCACATCGAATCTTACGATACGTGTATGGAGCATTAAATGTAGACGAAAAAAACTAATTGCACAGTTTGATTGGAAATCACGAGACAAACGTTTTAAACCTAATTAGTCCATGATTGAACACTAATTATCAAATAAAAACGAAAATACTACAGTAGCCAAATTCCTAAATTTCACAAACTAAACACAGCCTTAGTCGACTTGGCGCCATGGTTCCATTTTGGCGCGGTAACAAAGAGCAATTTGTTCAGCTTTAGGTGATTTACTGTAACTTATAATCGTCCTGTTCACTTAAACTTATTCAAAACAACTTTTTAATAATGAAAAAATATTTTTCTCTTACAATATTTTAGCATTAGCATCAGCACAAGTCAAATTTCAACGTAAGCGAACTGGCTAAATGTCTTTTAAGGCTATTATTGTTGTACTTGCTTAATCGTTCGGGGGTGTTTGGTTGTTTAGTCGTTTCTAAAATTTATGTCACATCGAATATTTAGATACTAATAAGGAGTATTAAATATAGATTAATTATAAAACTAATTACATAGATAGAGGCTAATTTGCGAGATGATTTTTTAAGCCTAATTAATCTGTCATCAACGTATATTTACTGTAGCACCACGTTGTCAAATTATAAACTAATTAGGTTTAAAAGATTCGTCTCGTAAATTAGTCGTAAGTTATACAATTGATTTTATAATTAATCCATATTTAATATGACAAGAATTTTACCAAACGCGGCCAGGAAAGTGGAGTTTTGTTCTACAGAAAGCACTCACTTCCCGTCCGGGCATCATTCACTTGCCGGAAAGCGCTGTGGAGAAGAAAGAAAGCAAACAGTTGACGCGATATGATTTGATGCGACATACATTTATTGATAGACTATCTATAGGACGTTGTGAGTGAAATTGGATTCGTAGATCTCAAAGCGTCTTTATTCACGCGAGCCTTGACCTGGAGGAGTTTGGATTCTCTTGCACAACTTTTGAGCAGGTTTGTTCAGTTCCTTTCAGCGGCTACATAAACACCATGGACAGCCTATAGGCAATAGGCAGTATACGCCATACGTATTTGCATTTGCATACTGCTCCATTTTTTTTAGTGCTGCTGCTCTGTAGGAGTAGTTGGTAAAGTGAGGAAGAAGTACTTAAGCCTCTTTGTCATAGCTCATTCAAAACGGCTTTACTGGTGAAGTTAAAGTTGGTGAAGTCAGAAAAACTGGTTTTTTTCGGCTTCTAGTTCATTTTAACCCCGACTTACGAAATGGCTTCACGCTACCGTGCTTCGATTTGCGCAAAATAGATGAAGCCGGCATAAGCCATGCCAAAGAGGCCCTTAGTGTTCAGGGCTCTCTTCGCTGCTCGTAAAGCCGTTTGTGCTGATTTGTACGGCTGATTTATTGAGAGAGAAAAATACTATACCATGGCTTATAAGCTGGCTATAGTTCTTCCAAATTGAAATGTCAGGCTTCCAAAAACGGGGGAGAATGAATTGTTGTTGTACTGAATTGGTGCTGTAGTTCTGTATTTATTCAGTCTGTCCTCACCTAGAAGATTTGTACGTTGTGACATTGCTCACGCTCATCACATGAGGATGCTGATGCAGTAAGTGATCGACCGGAATGTTTGCACCAACGGCCAGATGTTTGTAGTTCAAAATTTGAATTTTGTTATGTCGGCAGTTGACTTTGTTCCATGCATTTATGTACCCCCTCTGTCCCTATAGTACCTAAAGGAGAGCACATCTAGTTGTTTTTAAGAAATCAATAAATTTAAAATGTTGAAAATCTAAAAAAAAAGATAGTACCAAATAAATATTATTAGATTAATCATGTAATATTTTATTAATAATTAAAGTTATTTGGGAACATAAGTATCGATGTTACTTCTATAACTTCTATAACTTATTATTAATCGAATTTGAAATTAAAGATTTTTAAAAGCAGCATGTGTTTTTTTTAGATGGAGGGACACAGACTAGGGTTACTCGGTTGTACGTTCGCACGAATATTTATTTTATAGCTCGATCGTCCAGTCGTCCTGGATGTTTGATTCAGAGTACAATCACTAGTCGATCCTACGCGTGTTCTGGGCTCCCTTCGGCAGGCTGGGTTGGTCGTAAACGATTGTAGTATTTTTCTTTTACACTAAAGCAGCTAGTAGTATTTTTTTACGAACCAGTAACAATCCAGCTTAGTCAAACGAACAGGCTGATGGTTTATTTGTGCAAAATTTATTACTGGAGACAGCACTACTACCGGCTACTAACTGAAATGCTACAACGCAGGACGACTATCGACTAAGGGCGCATTTAGATGCAAAAATTTTTGAATTTGGCTACTGTAGCATTTTCGTTTGTATTTGATAATTAGTGTCTAATTATGGATTAATTAGGTTCGAAAGTTTCGTCTCGTGATTTCTCATCTAACTGTGCAATTAGTTTTTTTCGTCTACATTTAGTACTCTATACATATACCGCAAGATTCGATGTAATGAGTACTACACAAAAAATTTTGAGAACTAAACATGCCCTAAACATCTTTAGCGCTTTGGACGTACACAGTGGTACACTGGCATTCCCAACGCGGATCCATTTGTCCAGCAGCCAGCCAGTGGGGGGAGCGGTGGACGGGAACGGCCGGCCTTACTTTAGGGCCTGTTCATTTTGCTAAAAAAACAAATCGAAATACTATTTCGACTGATGTGTTGTGAAAGAAAAATACTATTTTAACTGAAAATAAGTTGAAAAAGACCGATTACAAGAGAAGCGAACATGACCGTACGTATGTTCAGACGTGCTGATTGCTCAAGTCGACCAAAATTCAAAAGATGTTTAACGTATTCGTTTGTTGATTTCAGTCAGAATCGGCCAGTATTTTTCTCGCATAATAGATTATAATCTCAGAAACAGCGAACATGCTGGTCGGCAAAAGAGCTGCGAACTGTGACCAACTGACCACAGGCCACTACTGCAGCCGTGCACGGGGGCCCAAGCCACGCGTTGGATTAGACCACATGGTCGCTATTCTATTATTCTGTGTGCCTGGCCGCTAGGTCCTTGAGAGCTGGAGGCTTCCATGACTGGCCCTCGTTTAAAGTTCTAGGTGAATCGGATGTCAAATAGAATATCGTACGGGTGTTTTTATATTAATATAAAAATAAATTATAAAATCAATTAGTAATCCGCTAGATAAATTTATTAAACCTAATTAATCAATTATTAACATAGTGTTACCGTAGCATATATTGTCAAATTATAAACTAATTAGGCTTAAAAGATTCGTTTCGCAAATTAGTCGCAAACTATATAATTAATTATTTTTTAATCTATATTTAATACTTTATGTATGTGTTTGATAAACTTTAGAGGTAAGAACGAAACAAGGGCTCAGTGATAGCATGCAGAAAGCCGTGGACAATGCCGGCGCCCCCCTGATTTTGAGGGACTCGTTCAGGAAGAGGCGGCGGCATCATGGTGCAGCCAGCTCGCTACATAAGTAACACTAGGAGTATTATGGCGACGCAGCAGGCACATTGCCTTGCCGGGTCGAGAAGGTTGTGCTAAAAATGGACAGGAGGTGCCTGGGATTACAGCTTGGTTTGCAACCGGCGGTGAAGTGAAGTGAACAGGCGGCGGCACTGCCTGCAAAATGGGCATTCCCGGTGAGGCGCTGAGCGGCACCGCCCTGTTCCGGCCGGCGCTCCATCCTGTCTGCCGGTTCACCACTATTTGTTCGTGTTGAAAGAAGGCCGCCGGCTCGGCTGGGTGGTTGCCGGCCCGGCCCAGCCAAAAAGCTTAACACTCAGGTTATTATCTCTACTACGATGGAAGAATCCAAATTATACTTCCCACTGAAACTGTCTCCGATCAAAAACCCATATGGGTAATCAAACCTAAAATATGTAGCAAGAAATCCAAAATCAACCTTTAACAGTGTACCTATACGGAAGACCTAATTTGGATTGTCTAAGAAACACAACCTAAATATAGGCATCCTCTCTCCTGAAAACTCATTTGCAGAAAGGATTTTATTTTGAATCTTGTTGTTGGAGAAGATGCCGAATATATATTGAACATTTTGCCTGCAGCGCTACCCCAAGGATGAATGGTCTTGTATTTTGGATGTTGTTGTTGGAGATAGCCTAAGAGTCTCCTACCACCGTGCATCCAGAAAAATATAAACAGGAATTTGTTTCATTTAAATTAAAGGCTAATATAACATCCAAAATAAATCCCATGGCTGACGGAAGAAGTTTGATGACAGGCTTCAAACGCTGCCGCCCTCCGCCTCATCACGCGAGCACGGTTCAAAGTCTGGAAAGACGGAATAAAAAAACAAAAATGTTATACAACACACATATGTTTTAGCAAAAAAATATATTGATTTTTTCTCTCTCTCCCTCCGTTCTCGCCGTGCAACGCACGCACGCGTCCTCCGATCCCGCCCGCTCCACAACGCACGCACGCGTCTGCTTGTCCGCACCGTGCCGCTGGCTGCATCTCGGACGAAGTTGTGCCCGCACTGTGCCTCTAGGTAGGTCTCTCCTCCTTCTTAGCGATCTGTAATTTGTCCTTTCATAGAAAAAAATTGTTTGTTATAATCTGTGATCTTGTGATTTGTGATTGTCTGGAGGTAGAATAAGGCTGGAGGCTAGAGGTAGAAGGAGGATGGAGACTAATGGATCCTAATTCATGGTATCAAAAAAAAATCATGTGTTGACACTGTATAAAACACATGGTTGGTGGGTAAAAAAAAAGCAAACGCTGGACGCCGTCGGCCACCCAGGCGCGATCCTCCCCACGCCGATCGCCGGTCGCCAGGCCGTCGGGAGCTGGCCGCGGGGCAGCGGCGGCGGCGGCATGGACCGCGTCTTTTCTGTGGAGATCCCAAACCCCTAATGGGCCCAGCCGCACCCTCAATCGGCGGCCGCCGACGCTGTTGCTGCACCAGGGTGGAGAAGGAGCAGGCGGAGCGGGGGACCCGCGGCTGGGGGCGCTCCTTCCCCGGCGGTTCCCCACTGCTCACGCCGGATGTGCCGCCGTCGGCACCTCCCGCATCGAGCACGCGAGCGGACGAAGGAGGTTGAGGCGTGTGGCGGCGGGTCGCAACAGGTATGCCGACGATGAGCACCCAATGGGTATTCCCACCCCTTCTCTGCTCTCCCAGTTGTGCGATGCCGAGGATCCAAACCCTAACTTAAGCTATTTGGTGTACTCGGATCTGATCTTATTACAAGCGTGTACATGTATTCGTTTTTTCTTCAAAAGTTATCGGATCCACCCTGCAATTGGTCTTTGTTTGTTGGTTTGCTCTGTACAAATGGAGGGTTAGGGAGGAACTAACTTGTTTCTGTTTCTACACCTGAACTTGCGAATCCAGCAGAAGCCATTGGAGAGTTTGGTAAATCTACTGCCTGATGTAGGAATGTCGCTATGCACCTTCCGCTGAGTTTAATAATACCAAAATTGCTGGTAATTTTGTCTTGTCATGTGTCATGCTCATAATTTCTATCGATGTGTTACTAATTACAGCTACTAATATAGTGATATATAATCCGTAACTGTTTAGTTTGTCTGTTCGTTCATAATTTCATATGGTATTATAACTCTTACCAACATGCTCATGAAATGCCAGGTTCTACAGCAAAGCATATAATGAACTGTTCTCAGGTGTAACTACTGAGCAGGAGCCTCAATCATCGACTAATACTCCTGACTATATTTTGGGTGGTGTCTCTTCTTAATGCTTCGTTCGAGATCACCAGAATTGTTCAAGGACCTGGTGTCCTGGTCTCCTGGACCAATGGATCAGTTGTTGTATTGGTCAGTTTGCTTTTTTCGCCTTTCTTTTGTTTAATTATGGATTTTTGAACTATGACTCCTTTAGTGCTATGAGCTGCTACTTGTATTTTCAATTGATCACAAAACTGCTTACTTGAATGCATGCCATACTTTTGATTCACGTGCCAGCTAAATTTAGGAGCTTCATGAATGAAGGCCGTTCTCACTTAAGTAATTGTTCCTTCTGAATCTATTTATTCATTCAGCATATGGCACATAGTTATGTTTTTTTTTTTTTTTTTGCTTTCTTGAATTCAGTCAAATAAACTGAGAAAGGCGTGGATCTTATTGCTTCGTTATGTCATAATTATCATACCTCTGAAGAACGTTTCAAAGAAATGATGGACAAGTCTCACAAGGCAATAGAAGACGTTTTCAGTGCGAAAGCACTAAGTCCATATAATCCCATACATCTGGATCTACTGCACAAGCAGGTCGCTCATATGATCCCATACATCTAGATCTCCATACATAAAGCTTTCAGAGAAAATTTTATGATTATCGGTGCTATTTTTGATATGGTATTCTTATAATATGTGAGATTTTAGTACATTACGGAATGTAGTTTCAGTCTCCAGATAGCAGGTGTAAACTGCCACGATAGTACATTATTGGATGATTTTGTTAAATGAAGCCACTGCGAAGCTGGATTTGGAGGCGGCCAATGGCCACAGAGTCGATGAGGAGCTTCCGAGAGAGGTACTGAGTACTGACCAGTGTTCTGATGTGTTTGTTACTAGCTGTGTAAAATTGTACTTGAGTTTAATCCTTACTGGAGGCAAGTAGTGCCGAAAATTGAATCAGACAATCTATATACTCATACCGATTGTTGTCCAATCCAATAGGTTTTAGGTGCTCAATTCAGATTTGTGATGATTTTACAGCATGCTATACATCACCAGCACTAGAATGTAGTAGGTTCAAAGAAATGTGCAATGTGTGATTTAGGATTAGCTGCTTGGTGACTATATCTGGACTAAAGTTATGACCCCTGTTTCACTCTTGATCACTGACCATTTTTCTCATATTATGAGCTGCACCAAAAAGGTACTTTTGCCAATAAAAAAATGATAATGTTTTATGATTTTTTTCTAAAACTGGAATTAGATTCTGCTACAATTAAATTGACATTGTGACCTCTTATGTGTAAATTAGTAGAAGTGTATGCACTGTAAGTTTTTATTTTATTGTGGATATGCATATAGAAACCGATCAAAACACTATTTGTAGTAAACCTATCGTCTTAAGACTAAATGTAGGGTCTACACTGGAGATGATTGCCTCACCATTCCAAACATACGAATGTAGGGCATGCTCCACTAGAGATGATTCCACTGGAGACTGAATGTGGCGTATTTCTTTGCAGAGCAAGCAAGAAGAGGAAGCGACGAAGCTCATGGAGAGCACAGACGAAATTAAGAAGAGGTTGGCAGCCAAAGAAGTTGAGGTGCGGGAGGCCAAGAGCACCCTCGACACCAAGGTCACGATGATTGGCAACATCATGCATGAGTCCGTGACGACGAGGTGATCAGAAAAATTAGTTGTTGGTTGTTTAGTAACCCTAATTATTTTAGTTTTCTGATTTATTTTTTCTAAAGGCCACGAGCACGGGCAATATATTAGTCGTCTGACGTGGACCGAATGTTACTGTTTGTTTGCTGCGATTCCTGCCTCCGATAGGAAAAAAAGTCTAATGGACCTCCCAACTTTTTTCTAAGTACGAAATACCTCTACAAAAAAAAAACACTTTTTTCTCACAAAAAAAAACGGTTTGTGATCTCCTTGAACTTTTGAAACCGTGTGATTTGCTCTCTGGTTAGTTTGAAAGCGGCTCGGGCTAACATGGCGCCAGATCAGCCACGAGGAAGTAAATCGAACAAGGCGGTAGATCTTCTACGCTGCCACGGTCTTCCTGCTTGCTTGCCCTCCTCTTCCGTGTCACGGATTCTCCCCGGGGAAGCTCTTGTTTCATTTCGTTGGCATGCTAACGGTAACAGAGATGGCGTTGCGGTGACTAAAAAAAAAAGAAAAAACAGAGATGGCGGGATTCAAAAGTTTTGCATCCAGTCTCGCAAAAGAAAAAAGAAAAAAAAAGTTTTGCATCCAAGACCAGGAACCTGCTGGTGGCTGTGGGACTTTCTGCCTTCGTCCAGGGGATTTACTACTACACCATAAGAGCAGCGGCAGGATCGGACGATCGAGCTGCAGGAGATGCCGACAAACTGGATCAGCCGAAATAACTAATACTTTGTGAGAACTGTAATGTTTGCACTAAAGACCGTTTTATGGTCCTGCTAAATAATTCAAATGGACCGGGGTAAGACCCCTTGAAATAGAAGAAAAAAGGAATTAACACAGCTGTATGACATTACTTTTCGTTAATCAAGCCGAGTCTCATACATCATTGCTGTTTCACAGCCCGTTCGGCAGGGCTGAATTGGCTGGCTGGTGCTGGGGCTGGACCAGCCAGCCAATGCCAGCCTCCAGCCGTGGCCAGCAGCCTCCAGACACCAGCTGGTTTGCAGACATTCAAAAAATGGCGCCAATCAATTGTAGCTCATGCTGATTTCAAATTTTCAAATTCAAACTACCATTCATTTGTAGATCATGCTGTTTTACAGTTTCAACCACGAATTTGAGCCAATAATTTACAGTTTACAACTCAAGCGCTGGAACAGTTAGTCACGTAATGCGGCTACACGCCCGGATCAACCCAATGTTCAGCATCATCTGGATGGCTTCTTCTGCCTCAGTGTACAGTTTAGCCTCCGTGCATGCTCTGATCAGCGCGAGATAGGAGAACGAGTCGGCAGCGTGCCCAGTCCTGCATCTCCTGGAATATGCATTTCGCCTCGCTATACAGTCCTAAAGTGGCATAGGCATTGATCTTCGAATTTAAGCTGATCTGCACATTGTAAGTTCGGTCCAGATTAGCACAACAGTTGACTGCAACTAAAAGGTGTTCTCCCAAAAAACTGATTCCAAGAAATTTCCATTGTTGCATACGTCAATGACAGAATAGTGAAGATCCAAAATGTTAGGTTTCCTGTCCATTACACAACTTGTGCACCAACCAATCCATGTGCAAAAAGTACACGGCAAAGAGCAGGATCTCATTAAGCAACTGGGAATTGGGATAGATGAAGCCCAGAACCAAATTAGATGTTGCAATGAACAGTGCATGGACTATCTGATACAAAGAAAATTAGCAAGAGCTAGTTAAGATTGTTTTCATGAACATAGATATCATGACGCAAGTAAACATAATATAAGATTGATTTTAGTATTTCATTAGCTCAGAGCTGACGGACAGGGAATCAGTGTACAGTATCCATTTAAACAAGAAATGCAACCAAAACAAGCAAATGTTGGATAAAAACAAAGTTTTAAATCTCCAGCTAAAGTTTTATATCATTCAAAGATTTCACAAGATCCTCAAGATCTGACTGTATCTTATTACCCCGCTCCTATAAACAGATGGCCAAGGAGATCAGACAACAGATGTAAAGCATGATGCAATGAAATATATTGGATGAACAAAAAAATACAAACATGAAGCTTCTCATCACTTTCATCGCCTTTTTTTGCAGCTTAACTATGGCGTTATAAATTTCCAACTTCTTCTCCTGCAAACATACAAAATAATAATAATATGCTCTGACCGGATCTCGAGGATGAAGTTGCCCGACATTCTAATCTGATCCACAAATATACCGGATCTCACGGAAAGTAACCTCATCCATTGTTAGCTTTGATGCCACATCTCCAACCTTCTTGCATCTCTCATCATATTTTGCAGAAAGGGATTGGACCTAAATATAGAATTGATAGCTGTGAGATTCATATAATACAGCATTAGAACAAAGAGTGGCCAATCTTACATGCCATCATACAAGGGACTTCATAGGACATTAGTCAAATTGTAACACAAATTATAATGCCAGGTAATGATTGCTAGACTCATCCATTGTTAGCTTTCATGATTGCTAGACTCACTCACTCTTGATTGAACTGATCCAGTAATGAAAATCGCAATCTCTATATTGAAAGAGATGATGACAACCATTTAACATATCGAAGACTCAACATAACATATGCACCTTAGCTGATACGTAGCACATGTCACTTCATCTCCTTTATATACACTAGGAAGGGCAGCAAAAGCACCTTGCACTGGTGCCAAGCAAATTCTTTGAACAGTAAGATGGCAAGGTCACCATGTAAATAAAATGGATGTTCATGGAAGTTACTACTAATATTGAGAGTTTACCTAGCAAGAAAGCAGCAGCATGACGTGGTGAGTTCACTGCTCCAAGCACGAAGCACGTCTTCTTCCGTCTTCCTGCCCAGTAGGAAACTCAAATTACCTCTGGCTCAATCATCCATATGAACAAATACAAAACCAAAATGATGAAATCATACCCGAGGAATGTAATCCTTGAGTAGCAACTAAGCGAAGACACAGAGTATTACATCACAAAGCACCAAAGCGATGCAGAGCGTGGCATGGTCATTCACGAAACAATGTAGCTACTACTATGAAATCATACATCACAACACCAATCGGTACATAACTTGGCACTTGTAGTTCTGTCACTACAATTACATCATACATCAACAAACACAATATGATAGTCCCATAAACGCTTTTTTTTTCAAACGAACTCACCCCACACAACCTTACATGATGCACACGACAAGGCGCTAAGGAATTGTACCTCTGACTCATGGTTTGTGAAACAACATCCTTGGCCTACATCGCGGACAACACTCCACACCGCCATGGATATTAACTCCCTAAGTCCAGAGATAGGGGTTCCCAGATTTAGTTCAACCCAATCCGGCACCTCATAGGAGGGTGGATCTGCGCCGTACTTACGCATCCACAAAAAATTATCTAAAGCAAAGCATGAAATGATTATTATAGCTCTGCTTCATCCCTCTTGCAGAGGGCACCCCATCAAGAATCGCCATGCGTTCTTTCAACACCCCAAACCTCCTTTCAATTACATTCCGCAATCTAGCATGAATGTAGTTGAATTTCTCCTCCCTCTCGCAATTCTTTGCATATCTATGCCTCTAAAGTCATTGATGTGATACCTTGTGTTTTTGTAGGGGTCATGTAGCCTTCCATCTCCTTGTAACTCGCGCGTCCGCTAGGTAGTACCCGCCTATCATAGCAAAGTGACAAATCCGATGGCTTAGCAAATTAACCATAAGTATGCTTCAATGCATGTACTACAAGGAAACAAATAGGGTATGTAACAAAGAAGGCATCACGAACCTTCGGGGATGTGGGAACGAAGCGTCGTCCGACAGGTCTTTCAACACCGCCATGTCATGACATGCCCCGCCTTCCAAAGCCCCACATATGTGAAACGGCCATCCATATCCACGATGGCACAAACATTAATTGTTGTTTCGCCTTTCCTATTGTAGAAATCAGCCTTTGCTTGACGGTTAACCTCAACCTTTATGTGCGTGCCATCTATAGCACCTATGCAGCCATCAAACCATGGTGGAATGTGCAAAGCAAGTTTGTGGCTTACGCGTGCGTAGTTCCTATCTGCTGGGACTAAGACTGTATTTGCCCACTGGTACATTACCTCTGCAACTAGTGTAATCTTCCGGCTAACTGTATCTAAAGACCTTTCGAACCTATACTTGCACTGTCTACTAGCCGATTGGTGGGCACATGTCCAGATGTACATGCCTAAAGCTTCTACCGAGGTGCACTTATCTATTGTTGGCAGCCCAAACGGAAGCAGGGTTTCATGCAAATGCATGAAGTCATCACGCGACATGCGCAAATTCTCTAAACATCCGGTATTTTCGGCTAGTGTGTTGCATCCACTGGGCTCCCGTTAGCTTAGGAATGGGGCAAGGAGGATTTACCTCGGGCCTTTCTTTGTGATGAAGCCCTTTCAAAGCAGGACAAATCTTGCCTTTTGCCACACCACATTGCTCGGTCCATCTTTGGATGTGTCATTTGTAGGAGGACTCGTCGAGTCTTGCTCATCTTTGCTCATCTTTGCTACATGCAATTGGGCATACATAAGACAGATTGTAATGCCGATATTAGAAACAACACAAGTGCAAATAAATGAACATATGACGATACCTGAACTCGGTACCACCTTCAAAACAGGTTGGAACGTACATGGGAAAAGTACACTAATTTTTTATTCAAAACACTCACAGCAGTACACTAATTTGTTACAGCACTCTTTTTTTGTTTACAACACTCACACCAGTACACTAATTTTTTATTCAAAAAACGAGACAACGACAGGCACTTAGTTCTCAACAATAGTCTTTGGTAATACGAAAAAACGAACATAAGGATACAACAAACCAAATGAACTCAACATGCACATGGTGAATATCCGCAAACATGCGAAAAAAAGGAAAGTGCTGATCAGTGGGACTTGTTGGAGCACACAAAGGCCCACGTCACTTTGATCCAGTTCAGCCGGCCCTCTTTGGACTCCATGTCTAGAAAACCACAGCGCACCGAGCCTATCTCTCGCAAAAGGTTGTGGCTTGCACGAATACTTCATCAACCCTCGCTAATACCATCTTGCAGCAGAATGTTTCGGACTTGGGCCAATTCCTGCGCATCGGTTTTGTGATGGGCCTTCTGGGACCTAGCCTCTCTGAGAAAGTGGCCAAGGTCTTCAAGGCACTCTTCTACAGATGGAGTTTGGCTACTCTTCTTGCTGCGAGGACTGTTCACTGAAAACTCTCTATGGACTCTCTTCGAGGGCTGATGAGTACTAGGTGGCTCGAGCTGGTGGTCCGATAAGGATGGAGGAGTGCGAGGGCTTCCATTACTAGGTGACTTGTCGGGTCGGTGGCCCCCCGCCGATACCAACTGGCCCCTGTCACGTGGGGTGCGTCCCAAAATTGTGATCAGTTGCTCACAGCATTGGGGCCGTTTGAACTTGTTTCTAGCGGGTTGGCTACTTTCCTGCACGTGTTGCAGTGATGTCGAAGTTAGTATTGAGTTAGTACGAACCTAATTGCTACAAAATATTGAAAAAAAATGCGTGTAGTTAGTACCCCGGGGTTGGCGCCGTACAACTCAGGGTCAGCTGTAACCTCTCCAGTCAGCGGGTCACGGCCGAGCCCAGTATGGGTCTGGCCGTCGCGCCAGTTGAAGTAACAACGTTTCAGTTCGTTGTACTTGTTCTGGCACACTTTCTTGTTGTACCCAAGGTCCGTGACTTTGTTGAAGTCATGAGTGATATTGGTCCACCCTAGTTGGGTTGGACCGTTGGCAGGGGTCCAGTGACAGAGCTCTTTCTGCTGGATGATTAGGTCAAGAAGCAGAGAGGTTGCTCTGTTATCCCAGACAGCACGGTCCTGGCTCATCTGATTCAAGGATCGACAAAGCTATTAGTAATGCAGCAGTCGCCAAATCTGCAGGAATAGATGTACTAATGGATTCATAATGCTTTCTTGTATCATGGATAATACTAATTGCCTCAATGTGAAGGAAGCATACAGGAAACCAAAGAACTAAATAACTACAACACTAGTCCCATAAACGAATTATAGGAGTGAATTGGAACTGTTCTAATTGTCCACCACAGCCAACCCCTCAGAGAAAATACAGAACACAAAGGAGACAACAACAAAGGAAGCAGAATAAGCACAGGATCCGTAACTTGCCTTATGTGGCCGTTTTCGGCCTTTTGAGCGGAGGTTGTAGGGCTTGCCACCAGTTGGAGAGCAAGACGAAGCCGACGACGCTGCCAGTTTGGGCAGCGCTGATCACAACCGGACGAAATGTCCCTTGTAAGTCTGCAGTTCAATCATAGAGGTCAATTGTAAGATTGAAAACCTAATCTGAAACATTGTAAGATTGTTGGTATAGGTAAGCACATTTTGTAATGTACAACCCCTTAGAAATGCCCTGTAAGTCATAAGTGACTAAAACGCAATGAAACCAAACAGGAATCTTAGTAAAAGTTGGACCATGCAAGCAAAATGATTCGAATGACTAGTTGCATGAGAATGAAATGACACAAGTGCACCGAACATATATATCCGAGTAACCTAGGAGCTATTAATTGTTCAAGAATAACAAACCACTTGGATGAACCAACCTGAATATTTGAATGCAATGAAAAGCATGAGTTGTAACACTCCATACTTAGCATTCAATATACAAGTATAGAAAAAACTCATTAAATCAAGGTCCAGTGTCAAATATGATGAACATATGATGATATGAACAAACTTATATATGTTAACTCCTACTGATATAGTAAAATAGCAAGAATATTGTTCACAAAAGTAGCACTTCTATGAAATGGAATCCTATTTAATGCTGATAGTGACTGAATACATTAGTTGTAGCACTCAACTAATATTTTGCAAGCACACAATGACAAAGGAGGCACGAGAAACCATTAGGAGTTTAAGGCGCATTCCACAGAAAACTTAGCAGGTAAAAAAAGCAAAGGGAAGAGATCAAACTTAGTGTTTGGTAATAATAGATCTAAAAGAGACATGAGTACACGTTGGATCTCGGATCCGTGGTCAAAGTGGGAGGCGCCGAGTGGGGGCTTACCGTGGTGGAAGGATTGGCGTTGATGGGAGGGGTCCGGGAGGAAGGCCGAGCCCACCGTCACCAAGGCCGGAGTGCGTGAGGGAAACCCTAGCCGCGGAGCTCAGCCTCTGACGAGACGACATTTGCGCCTCGAGGCGGGAAGGTGAGAAGAAGAAGGCGAGGATCCGGGTTACCTCGGCTGGCCAAAGTCGTCGACAATGAAGACGAAGACGAAGGTGAGAAGACGACACTTTCCCAAGAACCCCACCGGGAGGACGGAGTAAAGAGGCGGCGAGCCCGGATCTAGGGGCTGAGGGCGGCGGCGGCGAGCACGCGGCGCGTGAAGCTTCCGCCCCGGACAAAGCGGGCGCTGAAGGAGCGGCGCGTCAGCGTGGAACCCTAGCCACCGCGAGCGACGGGAGGAAGGAGAGAAAGTGACGGACGAGTGCGGCAACGGATATAAGCCAGCCGTTCGGCTGGGCTAGCTGGTGCTGGGCTGCCGAACGGCTGGGCTGATAAGCCCAGCACCAGCCAGCCCAGCCAGCGTACCGAACGGGCCGTCAGAAAGCCACTACACGTCTACACCAGTTCACTATTGGCGTGTGGTCTTACACTGTTCGTTCGTTCTGGCCTTAGAGAGCAATATCAGAAAGCGACACAAACACACCCACAATGAAGCAAAGCCAGTAACATCTGCACGCAGAAGCGAGTCTTGCAACCGAAAGCGCTGCACCGGCGTGCTTCAGCCTGTTCGGCACTGCTGGGGCTGTTTCGGTGTGAGAGGAAAATACTGAACAGTGCCCGCGTGAGAGGGCGCTGGCCGCTCCAGCCGATTGTTGTGTCCGTGGCCATTCGCCATGCCCGCCGTTGCCGCTGCCGGGGGCAGCACCACGAGAAGGCCTCGAGGGACCGCTTCCGCGTAACGCCGGCGGTCTACTACGACGTAGTACATCTTCATTCTGCTCTGCGTCTGCGCCGCGTGCGGTTCGCCGGTTGCCGGTGGTGGGTGGTTTGTCCCGTGAAAGGACGCGTTTGGCATCCCTTGCGTCGGCTGGTTGGATTGGGGATTTGCGTCAGGCGTCTGTTTGTTCGTTTCGGCCAACTGATCACGGCGAAACTGCTCGTCAGTTTGGGTTGGATTTTAGTTGTTCGCTGCGGGGGAAGAAAGCCAACGAAGGGGTCGAAGTTGCTGCCGCCTTCTACAGGAATAATCTGGCCCAGTAGGCCGACATGGACTTCGGCTAATCCTCCTTCATCACTGAAAAAAACGTGAAATTCTTTTTCCATTATGCCCAGGAGACTGCATCTAGCAATAAGAGAAATGTTGGTACAATGAATCAAAAAAAATGTTGGTATAAGCCACTTCTTGCCTTCTTGGTCTTTGACCCTAGAGTGCCCCCGATCAGTGCCCGCTGCTTGATTTATGGCATTTTCGAATTTCAATTACTGTGGTACTGGAGTAGAGCTGTTTCAGTTGGTGCCTATGTTTGTCAACAATTTGGGTGGGTCGTCACACCACTGCAGACTTATTTTTCAGCCTTCGGATTTGCTGTGGTATCGTCAAACTCCTCACTTATACTGACGCTAAGAAGGTTTGTCCTGAACTGTGTCTGGGCAGCTTAATGTTGAAGTGATTAGTTCATGGGAAGTGTCTACTCTTGTTCAGTCTTGAACTCTTGATGAGCACACTTAAAGAGAGTTATTTGATAACACGGAGAGTTTCGCATTTCACGAAGTGTCAACTCTTGTTCAGTCTTGATGAATATATGTATACACTTAAAAAGAGGTTATGCTGATAGAAATCCTGTGAGCTTCATTTGTGAAATGAAAAAAGGGGTGCTAAACTGAATGCTGCAAGGCAGGTGACACCTGCTATTATGGGGGTAAACTGTAAAGTTCAGAGAGCCAGAGGTGATTGATGGGATGGGATGGAAGCAAGGAAGTTTGTCTATGCAATCAGCAACTCAAAATAAAAACAAACTGTGCGGTGAGCGTGGATCGAACACGCGACCTTCAGATCTTCAGTCTGACGCTCTCCCAACTGAGCTATCCCCGCCTGATGTTTTTTTTTCATGACAGTCCTATATATCGCGGTGATAGTCCGCACAAATAGTGCAGCAATTTTTTCTGCTCATTTATTGTTGTACTTGAAAATATATCTTATTTTCTCGAATGTAATTATCCTTTCTCAATGGGCTCCCGCTCCAATCATCAAAACAAACTCAACTAGCAGGTAACCCCGCGCTTCTGTCGGGAGGGGAAAAACGCAAAATAAGAGGGAAAAAAAGGTATAGTACAATAATCGGTACATTAAACGGTGAACAAACATCTCAAATGGTTGGTTGGAAAGGTATGAGCGAATCTCGGAAACATAAAGGGTAAATACAAATTAGAAGATTACAATAACGACCGGAGAATCTCCTATGTCAGTTCCATTAGGTGTGAAGTTAATAATAGGACCAAAATTCTTGGTTGTAAATGAAGCAAAACTGAAAGCACAGAACACATGGAACACACATATAGACGAACTAAGAAAGCAGCAGCCTGCATGCACCTCCATTGTGTATTAGCCGTTGATGTTGTATGGACGAATGAAATCCAAAATCTGAAGCATCCTTGTTCCTTCTTCCAAGATCTAAGTGAGCGGAGGAGCATCATCAATAAACTTTCGAGTACTAACTAATTGATCTCTAGGGAACTGTGAGGCAGTTTGGACCTGGCAAACTGATCCTTGTAGTCCTGGGTTCTAAGGAAGCAACCAACATAAAACTGTGAAGACTGTAAGTGGGGCACAAAAATAAAACTGCTGACCAGGACCAGTTTGTGTTGGTAAAACGAAAACGAAGATGAAGAATGGTCCACATGGACTCCATGAACATAAGGCCACCAAGTATTGTAAGGTAAAGATTATCAGGACTTATCAAATGGAATCAGCATATGAAATAAGCTCCTGCAAATAGCATCAGGAAGTCAGCAACTAAATACCAAACAGATTGTCGAGAAAATGTGAGAACAAAAGGAAACGGTTGTAACATGAGTTGGAACCTGGATTGTAAATGTTGGGTAATATATATATGCAGCCCTTCCATGTATATGATGATTTCATGAACGTATCTCTGAATTAAAATAGCATTTATAAAAAGGCTTCAGATGTATATGATGTTGGGTAATATATGAAATTTCTGGTGGCAATCATTTATAAAAAGGCTTATGCTGCTGCATGGGCAGTCATTCATTAGGGATCAGACATCTTCAATTAAAACCGCTAACGCTTGTACAATGTAACGAGCATTAGTGTGAGGGTTTTATGGAGGAACAAAATTACAACGTGGAAGGAGATAGGCATACAAACCTGCGCAATCAATCAAAAGAGGAGTAGCATTGTAGCAATGAGCACAAAATCAAAGGCTGAGTAGAACGCAGGCTGTCGTGGTTGACCTGCAGTGGAATTTCCCACCTGGGCAGGCATGCAGCCGTCAAGGCGACCCTGCTCGCTGCAACAAAGAGGGGAGGCGGAGATCGCAGTCATGGCAGAACGAAGAGGAAGGAAGGGAAGCCGCGGACGGAGGGATCCAGGTTTCCGGTCGCATAAGCCGACGCAGGCGGCCTCGGCATCCGTACGGCTGGCACGCGGCATCGTGGTCCAACGGCGCAGGCTGACGGACCGCGCTGGGGGAGGAGAGTGAGGGCGGCATCTGAGCTCATATGCATATGGAGCAGGACGCCACCGACCGGGGGCGCGGCCTTTTGCCAGCCGCGAGAGGCAGGGAAGGCTGCAGATGGGCGGTAGGGGGTGGTGACATCCGGGCCGCGGGAGCCGGCGTGCGAACCCGGGCGTCACTGCCGCGTTCCGGTGAGAGAGCGTGTGCGCAGACAACGACGAGGACTCGAGGAGAGAGGTATGGCCAAGAAAAACGGAAAAAAGAGGGAGCTAAAAAGACCCTTCGTGGGCTAGGAAACCCGAGGGCTCTTGCCGCCCCACGTCTACGGCCCATATCTGCATCTGAACTCATAAGCATATGGAGAACAACATATAAAAGCGATAGTAGATCAGTAATTTTTTTAGCTTACCTAGACTCCAACTCCAATATTAAGCTGGTGACCCACTCAAATGGATGGCGCGGCCTTTCGCCACGCCTGCCCTTCGAGTAGGTAAGGAAGGCTGCAGATGGTCGGTGGGGTAGGTTCTGGGCGTGGGCGTGGGCGTCCGGGATGCGCAGGCGGGATCCGACGGATGGGGAATCACTGTATATGAATAGTATTCTATGGATGAATAGTGTTCTGAGTCTGTGGAACGGGAGAATAGTGCGGTTCACCGAAAACAAAGGTCTATGTAGATGTAGATATACCTATCATCGACCGATTAAAAGAACAATGTAATGTAGCTCGGCCACCTCCGCATGCGAAGCTTTGCGCATCGTAAAAAAGCTTGTCGCCCCGCTTACAAGGTCCGGTCCAGTATCAGATGGCTAAGGTGTTGCCATGGATAGGTGAGGTAGAGATTTGGGGTTTATCGACCTTCGTAAAAAGGTCTTCTTCTTAATCACGATATCATACCCCTACGGGTCGATTTTTTTTTAATGTGACACTTCTCTCTAGCTTTTCACATATGCACATTAGGGAATGTTTTGCTCCCACCACTTTGAATATTGTTGCAGTCGACATGTTCTGTGTTTGGTCACCATTGATCTGGCTAGAGTCGAAGACCATCTAAAAGGGTGGACTACAAAGTTGAGTAATTTTTAGTTTAGCGTAACCATTAGTTCATATTAGTAGTCTATATGTTAGATAACACATGATTAAATTTAGTCGTCTAAACTTTACTCACCTATAAGTTTTAGCTGCATCCACTTAACCTAACCAATCAAATTCAGAAACGGTAACCCAAACTACCGGTAATTCTAATTTAAAAAACAAGCATAGCACCTTGCTGTTATGGGGCCCATATTATTAGGGATAAAAAATAGATAATGATCTGGCGGAAGCTGCTCTACCCAGATTAGCCTTAATTTTAATCACACACATTTGGGTGTGTGGTAGATGAGAACATAAACAAAATAACCTTTTAACCTTAGTTCTGTGGTGCAAAGTTTGGCTACCGACGCTATGAATTTTAACTTAGCACCGCTGCTCCATGTTAGTCAAAATAACAATGAAGCATCTTCTTGCTACAAACGTGAAAACTGTCCTACGGTGTCCCACGAACAAGGGAAATACGGATGATTGATCAAAATGGTAGCCCAACCCAATGCTTGTTCCTTTGCCGTGGGGGTCTATCTTTCTCGCTCTCAGCGCAGATCTGCAAGAACATTTCTTGACGGAACGCCATCGCTCACTGGTTGATGGCGCACTTGCTGTAGCTCATCTCATCCAGTCGCCCAAAGTCGTTTCTGACGCAACTTTCTACTGTAAGTGAGGGACCGAGGGCGCGGTTTTTCACGCTATACTAAACTTCCAGTACGACCCCCAGTAGGACGTTGCCACTTTCTACGATGCTCGATGGAGCACGAAAAGCAACAGTGTAGGGCGGCAACTGCGCGTCACTGTTGCCGGGCCTGATCCGGCACACCACTACGTCTAGGTGTTCGTCCAACGCATACGCACGCGTACGCTTCGTCTGCCGGAGGCGCCGGCCGCCGGCCGCAGATGGGCACGGCAATAACTCCACCACGTGGGGTGGGTGGGGCTGCATGGTTCGATCGAGCATTCACTGGTTCTCCGTACTGCTCGATCGATCGTTTCTCCTTCCCCGCTTGACGTCGTGCTCGTGCTCAGGGTCAGGCCAGCCCGGGGACGGCATTCACTTCGAGCTGACACGTTTGACCGGACCAGGGCCGGGTACGCCGGCAGGCCCGTACCAGTACGTCACACTCACAGGTTGCATGTGGGTGCTGCGCGCGCACGCCTCCGGGACGCTGGATGCGCCAAAAACCGTCTCGCGTTCCAGGAGCCGCCCAAAGTCGAGAGGCTGTCTGCCGCACCGCAGCGCGACGGCGCGGGCGCATACCGGCATACACGCCCGCCCCGCCCAACTGCCAACAGGCTCCCGTCAGCGCGGCCGGAATACGCGCGTTCCGTGCCCGTGGCACCAACCGGAAAAGCGGGGGATCGGATCTGAAGTCCTCCTTCGCACGCGAGTACGCGACGACGGGGACCGTTGTGTAGGGGCCTCGCTTGGCCTTGCCGCTGGGGCTAACCTGTGCAGCTGCCCGTAATCGCCGATCGACGGACCCTGGCCGATGTTTTTCACGTCTCCAATCCAAACAAGGACGCAGTGCGCTCGTGAATTCAGCACTTCATGGCCACAAAAACTGACTGACTCCCGGTCGCTGACCGGTCCGTAGGCCAGTCCGGAACGGGCGAGCACGTCAGGCAGGGTAACCCTACGGTACCCACGAGGTCTGAACTCTGAACACATCACGCCCGCAGCCGCCGGCCAGCCCCATCCCGTGGCTCCCAGGCTGGCTGGCTGAAATCCGGGGAGACTGTTCGAGTAGGCTGGCTGGCTGGCTGGCTGGCTGGCTCCCAGGCTGGCTGGCTGAAATCCCAGGCTGGCTGGCTGACTGTTCGAGTAGGCGCCGCACCCGCACGGCTGGCTGGCCGTAGAGCGGGCCAAAAGCGCGCTGAAATCCGGGGAGACGGTGACCGCACGCCACGCTGATCGGAGGACGTAGTACACCATGCTGCCCCGGGTCCCCGGCGTGCGCTCACGGACAACAGCGACGGTCATCGCCTCAGCGGAGCGATTCATCATTCATGGAGGAGTTTAATCCAGTCGTCCTTGGATTCTGCAATAACCACTGATGTGAGCTCCATCGGAATGCAAGCAGACATGAATGTAACGGGATCAGAGTCGCTCGTGAATTCAGCACTTTGTTGACTGACTCCCGGTCGCTGACCGGTCCGTAGGCCAGTCCGGAACGGGCGAGCACGTCAGGCAGGGTAACCCTACGGTACCCACGAGGTCTGAACTCTGAACACCTCACGCCCGCAGCCGCCGGCCAGCCCCATCCCGTGGCTCCCAGGCGGGCCGTGTTCGAGTAGGCGCCGCATGCACGGCTGGATTAAAAAGCGCGCTGAAAAAAATAACCGCACGCCACGCTGATCGGAGGACGTAGTACACCATGCTGCCCCGGGTCCCCGGCGTGCGCTCACGGACAACAGCGACGGTCATCGCCTCAGCGGAGCGATTCATCATTCATGGAGGAGTTTAATCCAGTCGTCCTTGGATTCTGCAATAACGACTGATGTGAGCTCCATCGGAATGCTTCTGCATAACCACGAGCCAGATTAAGCAAGCAGACATGAATGCAACGGGATCAGAGTCGGTGCCACTCACCGCTCGTGTACAGCGACTCAGCGAGTCCTTCGGCGACTTTTCCCTTGGCCACACCGCAGCCCAGTCTGCGTCGATGCAGGGATTCAAAGTAGTAGGCCGTCAGAGGTCGCGAACAAGTACACACAAGTTGAAAGCGCTCTGCCACGCACATGCGATGCACTCGAGCACAGACGAAAAGTCCGCGTCATCCGCACACACAAGTTGAAAGCAATCCAACACGTACTGTGGCCGTCGAAAGAACTGCGCCTGTCATGTTCATCAAAAGGCATACATCCGTCCGACTGCTGGTCTCCAAGCTCCATGGTTCCAAAAGGGCGAGAGCAAAGTCCATGAGCAGTCGCACTCGGTCGTTACCCTCCGCTGCCTGCACTGCACACCGTAGATTGTGATGTATGCTTCCACAGTCAATGATTCCACAGTCCATGACAAGAATGACACGTGCGTTGATGCCTTTGGTATTTTCGCTGTTTCAACCGGTGATTGGTTGCTCGAACCCGGGCGTCCAAGGAGCATCATTTCGTGCACTTACGTCATGTTTTACGTCATGTTTGGTTGTGCTGCTCGCACCTTTTGCCTGTATCTTTTTATTCGTTTGCCTTCCTCTATTCCGCACGCCTCCGTCTTCTCGATTTCTCATTCCCTCATGGTGCAGGATGACTTGATTTACCTAGGATATAGAGACCTATGCGTCAGACACCCAAAAAATCTGATGCATGCATGCAACCAAATACAACCCCGTTTCGTACTAGACCAACAGCAAAGACAACCAAATACGACCACTTACACAAGCTTAACCTAACTTCTTTAGTCCAGCATAGCCTGACCATCCTGGCTCAAGGCTTGGTCTACACCCAATCACGCCCTGATTGTTCCATGTGATGTGAGTTCGACTTGCCTCTGTCTGTAGAGTTGTATTACCGGACAAAGACATGCCAAGCTACCGTATCAAAAGTTCATACATCTGTCTTATGTCTGTCATATACTAGTACGAAATGAAGTTTTTCTTTTCAATAAGGCCACGTTCGGTAGGCAGGGAATGACTTCATGGAATCGTTTCTAGCCGGAACGCTTATAAAATTTGTATAGGCCAAGCTTCTCGGAATCATTCATAGCAGGAACGACGAGAAACGAACGAGGCCTAAGGAGTACGAAATGAAGTTAACAGCCGGATAAGCTGCTGCAGCTGCTAGTAAACAAACCGTTGGGATTATCCAACTAAAGAAAATGTAGGAGTAGGATGATGCAATCAATCATCAGAATCTGTAGGCCTAAACAAGAAGTTAGTCAGCGGTAGACGGAGGCCTGGGGAGCTGCACCCAGGCACATGCATCCGACCCCAGGCGTCCAAAAACCAACGCCTGGCATGCATGCCTGTGCCAGGCAGATTTGCCAGGGCGTCAGCCTGGGACGATTTCGCAGCAGCCACAGCCAGCAGGTGATGATGAACATTCACAGGCTCGCCCCCTGGAATGGTGTTCAAGTGTCCGTGTCATCAGATGATCAGACTGGTACAAGCGTTCCTCTCGCCACTATTCCTTCCTATCAATGCCGTGCCTCTGTGGCGGCCCAGGTACATGCATGTGGCTGCAACACCAATTCCATTAAAGTGCCGCGCGTTTAGGGTCTTGTTTAAATTAAAGTTTTGGACATCACGGTTGTCATAGGCGTGTTGTATGATGCGTTCGGATACTAATAAAAAAATAAATTACGTAGTTAGTCAGTAATCCATCATATGAATTTATTAAACATAATTAATTTTCTATTAGCACATGTTACTATCATGGTTTTTAATTTGGTATCGCCAAAATTTCGGCCACCACCGAAATTACTGAATTTCGTGAAATTCGGCCGAAGTTTCGCCGAAATTTTTTTAGAGATTAGCACATGAAGTATGTTTTTTTCTAAAAAATTTTGGATCTAAACAATTATTAATATGATTTATGACTACATATCTATTAAATAGAAAAATATGCAATATAAACAATAGAAAAATATAAGATTAGAGTTATATAGCACATGTATTAGTGTATTAAAAATTTTCGGAGTTTTTTTTCGGCCACCACCGAAATTACCAAATTTCGTGAAATTCAGCTGAAATTTCGCTGAAAATTTTTTGAACCCTGATTACTATAGCATAACCTTGTTAAATCATGAAACTAATTATGACTTAAAAGGTTCGTCTTACATATTAGCTATATACTATATAATTAATTATTTTTTATTCTATATTTAATATCCATGCATATCTCTGAACATTGGAACTAAACAGGGCCTGTACGCCGCGGCAGTGGCAACAAGATGACAAGCGCAAGGAAGCCGTCGGGAAGAGACAACCGCAAGCGACGGGAGGGAAAGAGAGCAGAAAGAACTGAGACGAGGAAGTGCAAAGCAGCTCACTTGTAGGAGTAGAGTACTTGTAACTTCGTACCGAGCTAAAAGAAACAAAAGAACAGCAAGAACTGACAGTGGAAGATACGACTAGCTGCTAATCGAACCTGGCATCTACTGTTTTCCTCTTCCAATCCCTCCTCCTTTGCCCAAAATCACAGCGCTTGGGGTTCAACTACTACTTGCTATCCAAGTGTGTTACAGGATCGGCGAGCTACTCGGATTCCTCTCCCACGGCGTCGCCTGGCCGCCACGTCCGGCGCCGAACGTCTCGGCGGCGCCAGCCCCGGTCCCGGCCATGCCGACGGCGCCGCCGATGGGCTGGATGAACGCGGGGAGACCTCTGCCTGCCGGCGCGCCCGTCGGGCTCATTCCGAGCCCCAGGAAGTCCAGTGTAGCCGGCTTCCCGCTGAACAGAGACGACTGCCCCATCATGAGCTCCGGTAGGCACACCTGAGCCCCGGTGGAGTCGTATGGCAGCCCGAGGCCGAGCCCGGCCGACAGCACTGGCGCCGGCCCCGCCTCTAGCCGCGGCGGCCATTGCTGCAGCGAGGTGTCCGGGAGTGACACTTGCATGGCTGCTTCCTGGTGGTGCTGCTGGCCTGACGACGATGCCCCCGGAGATGACGAGGAGTCCAGGCCCAGACCGCGGAGGAACGAGGAGCTCGACGAGGTGGCGCCCATCTGCGCGGCCTTCTGTAGCAACGCGGTGGCGGACATGTGCGGGGACGGGGACGGGGACGGAGACGGAGGCGGCGGCGGCGCGAACTGCTGTCGCTCGGCGGATACGGGTGCCGAGAAGATCGACGACGATGCGTCCGTGGCGAGGCACAGCGACGGGGGCTTGGCGGGTAGGGCGCGCTCCGGGCGGCCAACCCCGCCGACGAGGTCCGGGAACTGTGGCGCTGAGGCCATCGACGACGGTGCGAACATACCACCGAGCAGGCTCTGAGACGTCCCCGCGACGCTGCTGCTGCTGCCGGCGCTCACCGAAGTTTGCGAAAGCACCGGCACCTGCGGCGGTGGCCGTGGCCGTGGCCGTGGCGCAAACTGAACGGGCTCAGTGGCATTGGTCTTCGGTTCTGCATGCATTGCATCGAAGCATTAGCAAATGAGGAGCAAGGATTAGATTCAAACCAGATTGATTAGTGTAAAGCGCTAAAAGCTTGGCAGATGCAGAAAGCAACGCATGATGGCATCTTTTTCATGTGTTCGTGGGCGCACTTTTATCATCGGATTTCAATGCTCTGAGAAGTTCAGAAAGGGGTTGTGGATGTCGTAATCAGGAGCAACTTTGCATGATCCCAGAACGGAGCCAGGAACAATCCAGCAACGCAGTCCTAAAAGATTTAATCGCCGTCATCCGATCTCACTCGTGTGAAACTACTCTGAGAAACGGCGTAATCGAGTATGAGCCGTACTTTTTTCGGCGAACTACAACAAATCAGCGAACAAAAACTTCTCAGCCTCACTCCAAGCGAACACGGCAATATGGGTAAGGTTCCATTTTTTTTAGCTCTCCCAGATCCTCACAAAAACCATCAACAGAGAGAATTCCCCTCGCATCTCCCCGACAATCTTACAGACATTCCAAGCCCACACATGCAAGATGCATCGAACCCGTACTAACTGTACAGTCGAATTTGACCGCAGCAAGATGATAAGCATTGATGTGGACTGACCATTACGTTGCTCCGCATGATGCGGCGCGGGCGGGGGAGGTTGCTGCCTCACTGGCGCCGGCGCGGGCGGGGGAGGGGGCGCCGGTGGCGGAACCACGGCGGCTGCCGAGCTCCCATCCTCCGCGGGAGGCGCCTCCGCCGGCGCCTTGGCGCTCTCCTCGGCGAGCGCGTCGCAGAAGGCGCGGTGGGTGATGAAGCTGTCCCTCCTGCAAACGTGCGCACGGCGAAACACAAGCAAGTCAACGGAAATGGATTGGAGGCACGAGCAATTCATGAGGAGAGAGGGGACTGGATGAGAGCAGCAAGTCGGAGGACGGACCGGGAGAAGAGGGTGCCGCAATCGCAGCGGTACTCGCGGGAGCCGCAGGTCTTGACGTGCGCCTTCCAGTCCGACTGCACGGCGTACTTCTTGGAGCACTTGTCGCACTTCCACTTCTTCTCGCCGTGCTTGCGGCAGAAGTGCTTCTTGATCCCGGTGAGGTCGCCGAGCGCGCGCGACGGGTCGTGGTGCACGCAGCTGGGCTCCGGGCACACGTACACCCGCTTCCGGGCCTCCTTGCCGCTCCGCTGCCGCAGCTTCCACGGGAGGTTGTGGCCCCGCCGGTGAAGCTGCAGGTTCTGGTCCCGCTGGAACCCCTTCTTGCAGATCTCGCACACGAACCGGTTCGTCGCCAGCAGCGTCTTGGGCGACAGCGCGATCACCTCCGCGTCAGGATCTGCACCACCACCACGGCGCCGTCGCCATCGATCACGACAAAGAGCTATCCCCGTGCCGGCACGCACGCACGCACGCACTCGGACCACTAATAGACGACTACTACTAATAAACAGAAGAAGAAAAATCAATCACCTGGCATGCCGGGGAGGGCACGCTTCTTCTTGGCGGGCGGGCCGGGCGGCGGCAGCTGTGCGGCCCCGACGGAAGACGACACGGCCGTCGTGGGCGTCGCCTCCACCTCCATACTGGAATCTTCGCTTTCGCAGAAAAGGTCCGAGGGCGAGAGGCGGAGAGCGCTAATAGAGGAAAGTCCACGAACCGAGCTGCTGCGGGCATAAAAGCACGCGCCTTTTGAAGGGGCGGAGCGACGGCGCGGAGGTCGAGCTACCGGTCGCGGCCACGACGGGACGGGAACCACCGGTCGCCGGTTTGTTCGCTCCGCCTTGCTGCTTGTGAGGGAAGCTAGCTAGAGGCCACTGACGAGGCGAGAGGAAGGGTGGGAGCAGTCGCAGAAGCCGCTAAAAAGGACGGGGGATAAGCGAAGGGAAGCCATGACTCGCAAGAGCGGTGCATTAACTAGGGAGGTGAGCGCACCGGGACGGTGAGCGTTGCGTGGAGGCATCGCCGTCGTACACGTGGGCGCAGGCGGCGGAGGCGATGGGCATCTCGCTAGTGGAGTCAGGCGGGGCGCAGACTCCGGCAGGGGCTTTGTCCTGTAGCGAGGGTCTAATATTCTTCGGCTGTTTGCGATTTTCTGCTTAGGGAGGGTTGTTTTGGGCAGCAGGAAAGGTTGGCGGTCAGCACTGTTTACAGAGAGTGATCAAGCGGCTGTCACCTTCGGCTTTGATTGCGTTGCTTATAGTGGAATTCTCATGTTTCTGATAAAATTTTATGCACGCTCAACTAATAAAGCAACCTGACCTCCTTTCCACCTCGTGTCCATGTGCGATTCTGCATTTTGGTGAAAGAGCATGGTCCGGTCGTTTATGGCCACACTTGGGAAGAAGGGTGAAGGAAAGAAGAAAAATAGAGAGAGGAAGAAGAAGAGACCAGCGGCCTGTTCGGGAGGCCGTATCGTATCGTGGATTATTTATTGCTGGCTGATTTGGTGTGAGAGAAAAAATCAGGTGAAAATTTACGATCGAAGAAAGAAGAGCAGCCACTCTCCTTCCATCATGTTCTGCAGGGGGAGGGTAAGGAAGAAGAAGAGGTGAAGGAAAAAAAAAAATAGAGAGAGAGAAAAGAAGAGACTAGTTCCTCTTCAATCATCGTTTTGCATCCGCAACTGGATACAATGCCAGGTGCGTTGGATCGTTGTGTGAGAGACAAGTGACGATGGACTCGAAACTCAGAAGTCACGATGAACTCAGAAGTCGGAACATCGTATGTGATCACAAGTTTGTTGGACGCTTGAGACCGTCTCAACAAGTAACACATATGGACATCTAAACCTAAAATAGATAGTAAAAGATCCAAAATTAGTTTCCAACAGAGTACTTATATTGGAGACCTATTTTGGGTTGCATGAGATGCACAACCCAAATATGGACATCCTCTCTCCTAGAAACCCATTTACAGAAATGATTCTCTTTTGGGTCTTATTATTGGAGAAGATAACGAATAGCTATTGAACCTTTTGACTGTAGCATTACCTAAAGGACGATTTGGTCTTATATTTTGGGTGTTTTGTTGGAGATTGCTGGAATGGTTATTTATACGGTTTCCGGCGAGAAACTAAAAAGGCAAAAAGTAACCAACACATAGAATAATTAGATTTAGTGATTAATTACTGAATAGAGCCCTTACTTTTTGGGGGCCAGCGTGGTTGCTCCTGTTGCGCCACCCAATGTACGGCCTGGTTGCTTAAGACCCTCTTTGGCAACGGTTTCTCCAAGTTCATTTTCTTTTGGTATATGCACTATAGCTTTACTTTATGGTGCTATAGCAAAAGCTTATTTTCCCTCTTCACCCTAAAATTTCTTCTTATCAAAGCAGGAAGCTTTGGTCAGCGTTCAGGGCAACCACGTCACCCGAATTTCTTCCCGCCGTTTGATCCCGCATTAGATGCTCCAAATCTCTTCAATCGGACTTTACCGGAACCGGCTCCTCCTGATTCGCTTTACCTTTCTCGACTTCTTCTCAGCTTCTTTCTACCTTCCCTGGCTTCTGCTCCAAATCCGGTTAGCCAAATATATTAGCTAGCTTCCACTTCAGCTTCCACACACTTCTCCTCTCACCTCTCTCTCTCCTCTTCCCTCTCTCTCCCTCCCCGACGCAAAAAAAAAGCACGTGGGCGGAGCGGCGGCGCCCTCAACACGCTGGCCTTGGCCTTGCTGCGTGCCCCATTGTGGCCATCCCCACCCATGGCTCGCGCTGATTGGCCCCCGCCCGATGCCGCCGCGCGCTTTACCCGTACCGCCTCCTCCAGACGTTCCGCGTGCGTTGTACACCAAACCCTACCTCCTCCTCCTCCTCGCGTCGTGTCCTGCCGGCCGGAACCGCGCCGCCTCCTCACCGCGCGAGGGGTTGACGGGACGTCACGGCGCGCGTGGGCTACGGCGCGCCACCGTCTCCATGCCCCGACGGGTGGCCGCCGCCGGTAACTCCTCCGCGTGAGCAGGCCACGCCAGTGGCCGCCGGCGTCACTGCCCCACGGTGATGCCTTCTCTCGCCATCCCGCGCCTGCTGCTGTGCTCCACGAAACCCTAGCGCTGAGGCCGGCCAGGGTGGCGGTGCCAGGGAGTCCGTGGCAGCCGCCTCCCTATGAAGCATCGCGTCGGTGGTTGCCGCCCGCCGTCCCTCCCCCCACAGACACCGACGCCCGCCGGACTTGGCCTGGTTCCCTCTCTCTCTCTCTCCGGGAGTGACAAAATGCTCGTGTGCAATTCCTATCCTTCGTGTGTGTTTGTAAGCAGCATTGTCCCCTGCCAGACTTGCCTATCTGAATAGGTCAAATATGGCGTATTGACTTCCTAAATGAATTGAGTTATTTTTAGTCACATCCTATTTAGCTGTGTTAAAATTTTTCTGTTGCCTGCAGGAAGCAATACGTGTGAATGTTTATTATGTGCTTATGCAGGTTCAAATGTCCAGTACAACTATTTTACATGGTAGTTTAACATAGCTGAATAATCCAAGGTGCAGCCTATGTTTCACATCTGGAGCCTTTTACTTATTAGTTGTTATTTGTTTATTGGAATGGAGATGTTTAATGCTTTTTGTACCCATGTCTACTGCTTTTCACGAGATCTGCAGGTTTAGTTTGCGCTAATGAAATGCTGGTCAAAATTCTGTCCTTTCTCTGTATCCTGTGATGATTGATACTTTGAAATGAAGAAATACTCGCTAAGCAAATAATTCTTCCACATAAATCATAGACATGGTTGCCTCCTTGAAACTGCGGCCGTTATTGACAGCAATAGTGTATTATCTAGATTTTTGGAAAAAAGGGTTCCGTTGGTTGAAAAAAAATGTGGACGTTCTTAACCTTTATATACAATTGACTACTACAATGGCACAACCATTATTTTGATTCCAAGCATTGGTACTGCGTGTCGAGAGAGTTGTGGAATTTGAGTGATGCGTACGACTTAACTTTGACTAATACACTTATATGTTGAGTTGAAAGGAAATAATTTCCATGTTTGTTAGTCTAAAGCAGATCTTAGTAACAAGCAATAGTTTTTTCTTCTGGGCATACTAAGAACATTTGATTTTTACCTAAAAAAAGAGCCATGTACAATCATGTCTAACGGTTCAGGACAAAAGTTGTATGCAGTTTTTGAACTTTTTTTTTGTCCGAAGAACCTATATCGGTTGATTCAATGCCTATTTGTTTTATCTCCAACTCCATCATACTTGCTTCTGCCTTACACTATCTAGCTCAGCAAAATGTTGCAGGTGATTTGTGTTCCAAATTTACTGCCCTTTTTATGTATGTGTGTCAGTAGTACTCAGTTGTTTTATGATTATTCCTTTTGTGTAGGAATCCATAAGAAACTCATCTGACGAAATTCTCCTATCAGTACTAGATTCTTTGCTTGCTTCGTTACGAGCTTATGACACAATTGCGAGAAAGGTGCAGCATAACTTTCTCACATCATTTTAGTTTGCTGATTTATGGCTTCAACTTTTAGTAACTTCCCTAATAGGTCATTTGCTGTTTGCAACAACAGAAAAACAGCCACATCAACGAGGAATATGTTGTTAGCTTACCACCATAATCTGTAAGGTCAGATATTTCCCTATGACAATAAAACCATGCATGTTGGACAAACTATGTGGACGGCAAAAATAAAGATTTTAAGTTGGTTATTACATTGCCAATCTATGGCAGTTTACTACTTCCTAATCCAGACATAGATCTCTCACCATATTTTTGTGGAATAATTATCTGAAAATGTTGAATATGATTGTTGGTGATTTTTCGTACAATGCATTAGTTTCTAACCACTGGATGATCTGTAAGGAGAATCTTAGAGTATGTCCACTTTTTGTTGGATATTAAATATCTATTGCGTTTATTTGAGGATATTCATATTGTACACGCTACTATGGAGCTTGACATGTGAGGAGAACAGCTAAGTGTTAAATATCTGTTCTGCTTATCGCTTGTTTCTAGAATTTTGTGCCATGAACATAGCTGTGCTTTCTTAGCTTCCTACAAGTATCTATGATAAAAATAGATCACCCCGTATGTCTAGAGCCATATTATGACTATTATCTGAAACCTTATGGTTGCTAGGTAATTGCTGTTTTTTCCTCTGCTCTTTTCAGTTTGGCAGCAACTTCAGTAAAATAGTTCTCTGTTTCCAAGCCATACTATATGACGTTAATGCTTAAAAATCCTTCAGGTATCCCTTGTATGTCTCTTCCTATTGGTTGTAATTCCATTCTATGTAAGACCTTTATTTCCGGTCTTCTTATGTGAGGTTGCTCATCAGGGATACGTAGGATGAACATGTGACCAACAGATGCTATTTCTCATTAATGGCGAATTATTACAGTTGGACAGGCTACATCAGGTAGAATTTGCTGCCAACCCATGAATCATTTTTTAAAACATATTAATGATAGTGAAATGCAGCGTGCTTCGCCGTGAAAATTTTAAATTAAGAGTTCTAACTCAGCTTCATAACATTGAAATAATTTCAGCTATGTTACAGTTGTCAGGTTTTTAGTAGTGTAAAAGTTCTTAATCTCGGTGTTAGCTTACAGTGCTTTGTGTGGTCTTGAGGTTTTAAG